AATAAGGCCTAAGGAAATCGCTTTTAGTTAAAAAAGAACTGATTAGTGAAGGATTAATTACTCAGGGCAAAGCAGGTCTGGAAATTGAAGATCATTAAGCGTGTGTTTTCTATTGAAATTTCATCCAAATTCAAAAAAAGGACTCTGTAGGCGAATGACTAACTTCATCCATTAATCACTGGTGCCCAGATGAGGACAACGAACAATTGTACTAAAGTTCTATCCATAATTAATTTGATCGACAACAAGAGACTAGACGAATTGAACAAAGCTGAAGCAGTCATGTCCTTCAAACCTCTTTCAAACTAGTTCTTCACAAAACGCACAAAAGTTGAAATCATGAAACGTTCAAATAAGACGTAAAATGCGAAGGTGCAAGACCTTCGAGCAGAGAAAATCTCAACGGGTGAGCAGGAAATTTGCTGACCGATCGAAAATATGACGTACCAATCAGCAAAATAACGTAACACAGTCTTACGAAAGTGAAAAATATGTGAGGATTTGCTGCAAATGGAAACACGGGACGCAGACATGCATGCATAGAGCAGCTTACCCCTGACATATACCACTTTTGATCTACAATGATGATATGGACCGAGCTACTCGAAAACTGTGTACATCATCATTATGAAGCGATCAGACGTCGCACAGATTACCCAAATATTTGGGGATTTTTGTCTTGGTGGAAAATAAGGACTTAATTACATGAATACACGTGGTGTTCCATTGAACCCGAGCCCCGAGATCTGATGCCATTCATGTTAGGGTACTAAATAAGCAGGAACAACGCCACACACAGCGTACATTACACCACTGCGACGATAACAATGAAATATGTTCGGCCGCACGCAGAATTTCTCCCTGTTATGGTGTATCTCTCAAACTCTTGATGTTGCATGATGATCGAACAATTCGTAAAAAACTCACACCGTGCATAAGAAGAGTTTAATGTCTTCAGAACATCTGACTTTCACAAGCGGACTAAATTGGTTTATTGCTATCTCCGCATCTTCCTGAGTTTGATGATTCAGCAGATTCGGATACACTGTGCTGTTATACGGCAGATCAATGCACATCGGTATCCTCAACGGAACACATTTTCGACTTGACGGGAGCATTTGCTGAAAATTAAAAACAGATGGCTGGCGAAAATCGATAGAACAAGTGGGAAGTGTTTTCATCAAGTCTAATCGTAAGCGCTTGATTTGCTCCTATAGTATATTGCGGGAATTCTAGAAATGCTCTAAACTTCGTGCCTGAGCTGAATCAGGAGGTATGGGAATATCCTTGCTGAAAACGACTCAGCTTATTTGCTAGATTTTGACGTAACGAAATGGGAGGAGACCATAATTATCGAGTATTTACAAAGATTTCATACTCGACGCACCTGTTGATAGACTTGAGCTTCGGCATAGTATGAAGCGATTATCAAGAAGGGAAGAAGAAAAAGTGAATAATATCGTTCGAAAGACATCTTCTTAGCGTTAGTATCGTCTAGATCATACTTCGCACCTCCTTAAACGAAACATTGACGAAATTCCGAAACGAGGTACTTAAATATACGGACATCACATAAAATTGAGTAATAGCCGCAGTTAATGGCCCATAAATCAATGCAGCGCTCAGTCGGCTTAGCCCGCCCCTTGGCCGAACGCCAACACGCCTCCCTTCCAATCGTTGCGGGACCCAAAAGACCTTTCGCAAATTTGCGGACTTGTGTCGCTCGCATTCTTCACCAACAGTCGTCTCTCTTCAGAGTAGTTTCTTATTTGGAATGCAGAGGTATGTCAAAATTTTTCAATCACATACCGAGGGTGGGCCTAACCGCCACAGTCCGAACCTACCGGCAGTGGAAATAGGGTGAGCAAAAGTAGAAACATACCCCATCCGAAAAACGGCGATAAGCGATAAAGCGGGTTTGCGATTACATAGCCGAAAGTTACTGCAATACGGAACACTCAGTGACCATTCGTCGATGCGATCGTCGAACCTTCATCAATTGTGGCATACCTTCCCCACCATAATCGCTCAGCCGCCAAACCCAATAAACGCTATTATGACAAGGGTCAACAATTTCAATTAATATCTGAGACCGGGGGGTGCGCTACCATATTCTTAACTTGGGTCTATTCCAGTTAGGGGGGGGTGGTTTACTAGGTACCGAAAGCGAATTTTTTGCGCTCCGCGGCGCGAAACATTTCTCGCTGCGGTAACCTTAGGTCCACCTCTAGGGCGGTGCAGCAAACCCCCAACAGGGGGATGACCACCTCCTCACCCAACTAGGATTACCCCTCACCACAACAGGATTATATCCAGGCCGGATGTAATCCAAAAGTTTTGATTATCCTCGTTCCTCACAGACCCATTCACTTTTCCCTATCTAGGCACATCAGAATTCCGCTCTCTAATCGTCTTTGCTCAGCCATCGCGGTAGGACCATTAAGGAAAAACCAGATAGTCTGTAAGGGGGGGGGCATCATGATGCATTTTCTCTAGAAAGCTAGGGTAACCTCGGAGGGCAGTCGCTTGACATGCGTGTAAAGCTGGAATGTTCGAGTTCACACTAGTTCGCCGAGAACCTGCATTATGATGCCCCCATCATGGGTGGAATAGACCCTAACTATATATTAACCGTCCTTAGGAGCTGAAGTAAAATGGTTCCTTCCCGTAGATAATTCCTGGGTGATTGGGGCGTACGCAATAGGAAAGATCTGGATGGGAATTGCTTACGAATAAGGGACATGTAGGTGAGTATGAAAAAAGGATGTTTATCGTGACCTTGGATGCTCTGGGTGCTATGCTTTGCGATACCCCCACAGAATTTGAGGATCTTCTTCTTCCGGTTCAGAGTTTTACGACCACTAGATGGAGTCTTTCATGGGATGCTCGGCAACAACATGTGGATGCTAGTTTGGTCTCATGTTGCTTCCCAATTCCGCCCCCTCCCCGCCCCCCCCCCCCGAAAATTTTCAAAACTGCTAACCGAACGGCGGGTGAAATTTGGTGTTGATGAGAGAGAAGAATCAAACAATGAACAGCAAGTAATCATACATTCTGTAAGTTCACCTTCCTTGCTGTGAAATGCAAATTGTGTGCAACTTAGTGAGACACGCACGGAGGCTGGCGCTGTTCCTACCCTCAATCTTGCTCATAGAGCCGTAGCTATTTCGCCGCGCACGTGGCAATCGATATACAGGATACCGCAGATAAAAAACTGGAACTGCAGACGAAAGGGCGCGTGCCGCCGCGGGCCCCTCCCCCGACTAAATTACACGGGAAATTTCCCCCTGCACAGCATTAAACCCACCCCATACACTACACGCGACCTCTACTGTCGACCATCCATGACGTCCCTGTACTGCACTATAAACCTTCCCTTTTAAATCACACCATATGATCCACTTCGTAGAAATATACCAGCTGACGGTGGACCCTGACTTCATCCGCATTTGAGCTAAAATTAGATTTAAGATGAACTGACCATTAGTTTCCTTAAATATTGTGTTCTTTTTTAGCTACTACATTAAGCGTTCTGCATCTTTCATTTCCAGTTCGCTTTCAGCATAGTTATATGCAACGCTACTATCTTAATACAGCCAGTGTTCCAAAGTAATACAACTGCCGAAGTCCACATACTGCTTGAAGCGACGCGACGCAACACCTATGAACGCCCAAAGGTAATACCAACAACTTTACCTCAGTTTTTGCTTTTATTCCTATATCACATCAAAAGATTTCATCTTAATAAGGAATTTGATGTGGTTCAATAGGACAGAAAAGCGGGACTCTCGCTTTGGCAGTCGCGAACATTCTTCGTTGCAGGAATCTCAGGTCCTCTGATGATTCGCTGCGGAAACCTCGGGTCCACTGATGTCAGCGGTGGACCTGAGGTTCCTGCAGCGGAAAATGTTTCGCGCTGCGAAACGCGAAAAAGTTGCTTTCTGTCCTATAAACCACACCAGTAATTGATTTTGATCGTAGAGAGGAAGTAAAAACCAACGAAACCATTCTAACAAGCTCCACACAGAATAATGCTATCCCCACAAATATAAAGCGCTAATCGTCTCTCTGGGTGTGTTTCACAAAATTTCATAGCACGCGCGCCAGCAGTCGTAGACTGATTTTTGAAGATATAGGTGGGACCCGGAAAGAAAACATATTTGGTGGGGGTCACAAAGTGATAACGACTGATAAGAGTAGATAAGAGGCGCCTGAAACACAAATTTCACGAAATTCATAGTGCGCTTCGCAGCAGTCGTCAGGAGCTGAGATTGGGGCATTATGTAGGGGGTAAGACGGGAACATATTTGGTGGGGGTCACAAAGTGATAACGACTGATTAAGAGTAGAACAGCCTGAAAACAACGGAATTTCTCACGAAATTATGGGCCTCGCACAGTCTCAGGACTGAATGGCATATTAGGGGGAACGGAAACATCATTGGGTGTGGTCAAAAATGTAACGACCGATAAAGATAGAGCAACAGGCGCGAAACACGAATCACGAAATCATCGGCGCTTCGCACAATATCCGCCCAGACGATATGGGCATTATGTAGGTTAAACTGAAACATATGGTGTGGGAAAAGTGATAACGACGATAGTGACGATAGGAACGATATGCGTACGAACGTAAGAGCATTTCATCAGCGTTGTAATTGTAAACTCCTTCCGACCGCTACACTTCTAGAGTTCTTGAGGATGAATGGGATGCTCGAATAAATATGATAATGAATACTAGGCATTCCGTTTTGAGATATTCGACCGCTAAATTACCTCGATACTCGACGCATAGTGGTTGTTTACATCATCACTTTAGCTGTGCACTTCACTGCGCTTATCAAACAGTGAGATACAGCCAAGATGGGCAGCCTATGCAACGGACAGTAATACATTTAACGAAGCAGCTATAATTTAGCGGTGAAACCTAAAGCTTCATCGATTGTCAGTTCTATCAATGCGCGCGGTAGCGGGCGGAGCTAAACTGGTCATATAAATAATATGAAAAGCATTGCCTGTCAACGCGCGTCATTGTCGCGCTCATACAGTTTCGGGCTTATTAGCAAAAAGACGAGGAATACGGAGTTCCCGAATATTCAATCCCTCACATGTTTCTCGTGATCACAAGAAACCCTTGTTCATTTGTTTTAACAGTCATATATACCACATGCAATTCGTCCCATCACCGTGAGCAACGAAACGAGGTCACATTTGCGTACTGCCCAAGCATTCAGACATTTCAGTCAAATGACCGAGGCACTCCGGGACCTCATACTAGGACAAACCCATAAAACCCCCTCTATGGCGGTCGGAGTCCGCGATCGTCGCAGGTTTCGCTAATTTCAGCGATTTTCGCGATTTGCGCGATTTGCGCGACGGGTCACGGTAACCACAAGTGCCCCATCAATACTGCAAGGTGTTCTCCAATGCCGCCGTCACTTCTGCTTGATATGGCTGAATGACGACTGCCCTCCCTTATTTGATATTATAGAATCTAGAATTATAGGATAGAATAGGAACGAATCATGAGCATTTCAATGAACTGATAGACATTGAACATGAAACAAGTAGAATCACGAACAGTCGTCTTTCAATCTTTACTGTCAAGCAGAATTCGCAGCAGGATTAAACAGCACCTCGCAGTATTCATCGGGCACTTCCAACTCCTGTGATCCATCGCAGGTTTCGCGAAAATCGCGAAAATCGCTGAAATCAGCGAAACCTGCGACGGATCGCGACTCTGACACCAGCCTAGAGGTTGGAACTTCGCTGTATTTGCGATATGTGGCTTATGAAGAGACCCAGTTGAGCATGTGATTGGCAGGAGGTTTTGAATCGCCGCACGTTGGCATATAGGCTGGGGTACAGGATTCATTTTCAAACTGTGCGCTGCGTCACTTATCTCGTCACGCGCGCGAGGTAAACTTTCATGGTATCCTCCTTGACATGAACGTGGTAGTTTTTCTTTAGCTTCACCCTCTCCCTCCTCTTGTGAATTTGTAATGAATTTCTATCTATGATGGATATGGGAGCTGGGATTGGTTTTGATTACTTTTCCTACCTATTAAGATACGTTCATTGTGGAAGAGACCACACTCCACATTTTCGGCGGTGTCAGCGTACCAGTTCGTGGCGTAGTCGTTCTCAATTTGGAATGGTTACAGATTGGTTGTATGCTGGATTGTTTGCATTGGCACACGCCCTTTTGGTCACGGTCGTGTACCGCTATGTTCCGGAGCCATACATGGACGAGATTTTCCATGTTCGACAGACGAGAAAGTAAGCGTTTCACTCTTTCCTCCTTGCCCATCGCCTGTGTTTCAAAGCCTGGATAATAGAAAATTTATTCAGATATTGCGCTGGTAATTGGAGCTGGGATCCGATGATAACGACACCACCAGCTCTTTATATTCTGGGAATTCCGCTTTGTGGTTTTGAAAGGTACACGAACAGTGTGCTCATCGCAGTTACATTCATCGGCTTTTGTTGCTTCCGAAGGCAATTCCACAAAGATGCTGTACATTCGTCAGCAGTTGCCGCTATTCTATTTCCGGTATGTCAGATCTGTTGTTGATAGGTTCATTCAAGCAAATACTTCTTTCAAACCCTTAGAATAAGGCGAAGGTCGATTTTTTTGTTCACCAGCAAGGGTCGTCTCTCTAGATGGCATTGTACCCGTCTCTTTCCGTCACAGCAAATAAGGAATTTAAAATGGAATGAAACTGCTTTATTCAGTCGACGTTTTTAAAATTCCATCCGTCTGTACGGGCCTCCATGACTCACTCATTTCTTAACTAGAATTATCAGAAGAGGTCCTAAAAGCGAATTTATTTCGAAATGTCGACTCGAGTCAGCGCTTCGATCATGGACTATATTTGGATTACTAGAAGCGACTTTTTTATGCCGTCATAGTCTATCTGTATGGTTAGGTCAAGTGGTAATATTTGAAGTTTTTGTTTTGGTCACTGATCAACTGAGTAAGCTTCCAGTACCCAAGCTGTTTAGTGTCTTGAACTGTGTAGCGGCTCTATCCATTACTGTCACTCCTTTTTATAGGTGCTACTTCACTCTTCAGTGCTCTACTATACAGACTTACTCTCACTATGTGCTGTTGTTTGGGGATTCACATTGGATTCTCCCGTCCTTTCTTCGCTCACATTCACAGTAGGCGTTTTGACTCGTCAGACAAACATTGTATGGGCAGGACTAAGTGGAGCCGTGCGTCTTCTTCGTGATTTCGACACTAGTCGTCCCATTTCTACAGTTGTTTCTTCTCTTCTGAGGCTTTTCTCGTTCATCGTTCTTGCGTTTGCTTTCACTGTTTTTGTATATATCAACGGAGGCATTGTTTTGGGTGATGCCTCGGCACACCACCCACGTCTACATCTCGCTCAATTCTTATACCTGGGTCTGTTCACAGGTATACATGCTTGGCCGCACACTATTCCACGGCTTCGTAGCTTTATATCAAGACTTATTCACCCGTTCTCCGCTTTGCTAGCCATTCCAATCGCTTTATCGGCTCAATACTTTGCTTTTGATCATCCATATCTTCTAGCAGACAATCGCCATGTGACGTTCTATCTGTGGAGGTGGTGGCTCGCAGATCCCGTTCGCCGCGTGCTTCTAACTCCTCTGTTTCTAGGCTCTTTCATATTTATCCGTGATCTTTCCAATCATATCTCTCCTTTTACTCGCATACTTTTCGTTCTATGTTCCTTTGCCGTGGTAGTGCCGGCTCATCTATTGGAGCCTCGCTATTTCATTATACCCTACGTTCTATGGAGATTATCCGCAAAGACCTCCTCGAATAGATTTATCATCGCAGCTGAGATTCTATCGCAGCTACTTGTCTTTTTAGCAATTTTCTTGTTATTCCTTTTCAAGCCTTTTGAATGGGCTAACGAGCCCGGTGTTAAGCAGCGTTTCATGTGGTGACCATGCACTGATAGCACCTAACAGTGATATTATAGAAATTCTTTAGGGAAGCTGTATTCCACCCCGTGTTCACTTCTTTACTTCACTTATTTCCTCCTTTTTATCTTCAGTGTTTTGTGGCAGATTGTTAGCTGGGGATATGAGCTGTTTCATTTTGGGGAATTTTTGTGCAATTTCTTTTTTTTTGTCAATTCCGACATATTTGTACGGGTTTGTAATTAGGGTACTGCTTGTAGTTATGATGAAATAAAACTACAACATTACAGCTGTAAAATGTATCTTATTAAAAGATCAATCAGTCAATAAAATCTACAAGCTGACAAGACACTTTGGCGAGATAGGTGAAAAGGCAAGATAACAGTGAGCGATGAGACAAACATCGTAGTGATGATGATACACGGATAAAAACGAGAGCAAGCACCGATCAAAGTGAGACAATTCAAAATGCCAATGAAAACTATAAATGACATCAATATTGTAAAATGCCAACTTGAGAAATAACGATAACGAAATGCAAAACACGATTATAGTAAATCGATAACAATATTATGCTGCGCTCTAGTGAAATGTAATGTGATGACATGAAATGAAATGCAATATGATAAGTCAGAGATAATGGTAATGATTATGAGAGAAATGAACGAAAGATACAGGTAAAGCTAGCACGTACAACGACGACAATGATGACGAAAAAAATGGCTGGAAATGCCGCGTGTTCACCCATTAACATAATGCTGCGCGTATTATGCTCTATACTTGTGATAGCGATGAACCAAATTGAATAGGAAAACGCGAGTTAGAGTAGAGAATACTTCCTAAGAACAGCCCTATTCAACATGATCCACGCTTATCCCGTCTTTCGTATGGAATTCAAAGAAACATAAAACAGACAAGAATGTGAGTGCCCATAGGATAGATAATAGACATCATGGAATGGCTTCAACGGGGTTGATATGGCCGGAAAGCATTGTACGGCACCAATATTATCAATTCTAAGTTATGATAAAGAGAATTGTATTACAGAGTGTCGATGGGAATTGACAAGAAATCCGAGTCAGAGATACAGTGTGGCTAATACACAACAATATAACAACAATTAAGAAAGACATTCACAAAGAGAATATACTAACTTCACGTGAGAACGTAACAAATCACCACGACGACGGACTACCTATCAGTGTTCCGCTGATTACGTATAATGCGAAATCTGATCTACTAGCGCATCTATTGATGCTAAACTAGCCGCTTTTGAGCCGTGACACATGTGTCGTTGTGCTTGTGGCATTGTTTCAGGACAGTGAATCGGATGGTAGATGTGAACTAAGCCTGGCTCAGGAGATCGGATTACTCGAAGCGTGCGTGATTTCACTACCTGAAAAAGGTCAACTGAAGAAGGAATGCAGAAAGAAGAAGCTTTTCGATATTCACGAAACATTTTCTCCCATGCCATTCTTAAGTTCGAAGTAGACTAGGAACACGAAATCGGAGGAACTGTTAGATGGTGTTCTGAGTATTTCTTTTTACAACGAAAGTCCTTGCGGGATTTTTCAAACCTGAAAATGGCTGTACATCAACCTGCGTGAGAAATTTTGAAACCATAGTGATAATAAGACTGCTTCATTTTCCAGGCTTCAAAAAGCGGGCAGGCCTTTTCGCCTGCATGCTTTTTGGAGGCCTGGAAAATGCCATATGGTTAACCCACGTACGCCACTTTCTTTCACGAATTTTGTCTGGGACACACAGCGAGCGAAGCCTGCCGGAATATATGCTCTGCGGAAGGAGTGGTAAGTGAAAGAACCTGCCAACTTTGGTTCGAGAGGTTCCGTGAAGGGAACTACAAGCTCGAAGATGACACTCGTCGTGGACGTTTAACGGATGCAATTGTAGGCCAGTTCGAGCTAATGCTTCGAGACACTCTCCGCATGCAAGCGCCAAGGAGCTGGCAAAGGAGATATACTGCTCCGACATATCCATAGGTCGTGCCCTCTCCAAGCTGGAAAACTCAATAAGCTTGGTCAATGAATCCCGCATGGCTGATAGCGTATTGGCGTGCCCTTAGGTTACAGCGTATTTTCTTCAAGGACCGTCCGTGTTCGATTGACTGGATACTACTTATTATGAAGAGGAGAGTGAGGCTTGCGTTGGAATTATACAGAGAAGACAGCGGGTGGATTCGGCCCCAGAAGCCGACGCGTTCCGAGCAGGAATACTTAGTCTCAAGAAGTTTCTGTTTTGCTAGAGTGCTGGGGAATAAACACTACGATTCTGTCAACATCCTACGCTCCGGACGTTGAGGTTGCACTGATCACAACTAATCGAAGCTCACACTGATGATCGCGAAAACTTCGCCCTAGGCTGGCCGAGCGATTCATGGACATACGCCGACTGCATGTTAGCAGGGTAACTCGGGACAACGGTTGGCGGACTTGGATTCATGGTTCAATACATTTCCCATATTCGCGGCAGATATCCGCACCCTACGGAATTACACTGTTCCATCCAGTAGCTCACCTTCGTCAAAAGGATGAAGGTATGAGATCGACGCAAACAGTCTGATCATTGTTAGCGTTATCGTACTTTCATAATTGATAACAATTAAGAAAACGTCAACCAACTTTGAAAGACCCATTCTTCGATTACACGACAACGCTAAATAACTCTTACAGATCTCTTATCTATCTTTTGGATTACTTGGAGGCCATTTCCCTCACCTTTACCCGAACATCCTTCAAATACTCCCTACGTTAATATTCTCAGACTCGAGGCAACGATCAACATATACCTGGAGTGAGAACTCGCCCACCTCACACGTTTTCCTTAGTATTCATTTTTTAACATACCACAATTTGCTCCTGAAGTTCCATCTTTGTTATTCAGACGACACAGGATTCAAAAGGCCCAACGCTTCCACGTCTCTTGTAAGCACCTCCTAAATTATTCGGCCAAGACAGGACATTATTACCACTACCGCCCCAGAATACGCTAACGTTACGTTCTGCATTATAAGCTCACCAGCGACTAAATTGTTTTTTATCGCTTCTATTTCACAACTTTACTAAGCAGCTTTGAAGCATTCCAGAATTACACAGAAAAAACCATGGTAGAGAGTCAGAGGGATTCGAGGTCACTTCATGGTACAGGTTCTTTCCCACAAGCGTTTGGAACTGGGCATATGTGCTAAAGTGCATTCACGCTAAACGACGGTGCGCTAGTTCCGAGCGATGCGTCGCAACTCAAGTCTCACGGTTGAATACGTTTTCCACTGAGATTATTGAGCTTTTCCCCCTGAGCTTGACCGATTGAATGAAAAGAATACAGAACATCCCACGGTATCCTGGATATTCTCTGCTAAGGCCGAGTTTACAACGAAAAGACGCCCACTACAGCCACACACTCAAGCGTAGAGCCGGTCAAGTGATCGTGAGGGATGAAGAAACAATAAGAACCACACCACAACCTGCAAACTTAAGAATGCGGAACCCCCCTTTTGACTCATTAACTCTTAGCGCTTCAGGTGCTGTCGAATACTGACGGCAACCTCCTTCATGTACACGCCTCTCCCCCTCCCTGACTCAAGCGGACAAGATGGGTGAGAGAGCCGGGTGAAACATGCCGTCGAACGAGGCCCGGGCCACTCCCGCCTCAGACTCTCGCCAGGCGCACTCCTTCTGCACTAAGCGTTCAGGTATTTCCGACCAATTTTGCACCCCGACTTATCGCTGTATCATGCATGTATTCGCCAGACAATCTACATACTTCATCAAGCTGCTTAACGCTGGCCCAGCCATCGTCTCTCAGCACTAGTAGCCTTGTTCACCCTCTAAAAATTAACCGAGAAAAAGTAAAATAAAGTTTTCTGATAACGCTGGCACAGACGAGTAACCCGATGTGAAGTTACTCATCCGCTATACCCGCGTGTTCCCTTCGCTTAACATTTCAAAACCATAATTGACATTTGGCGCAAAAGTATGGAAGCGCTTTGACTAGCTCTTTTTCTACTGTCGTAGCTGAAATCTCGCCATCTGTCGTGCTGTGCAACTGACGATTTGATGAAAAAAAGGTGAACGAAAATGACCGCCGGTTGACAGTCTTCATCAATTGCTTTTGTTAAATTATAGATCGATTATATATCTTTATCTACAACCCTGGCTGTGCTATGATGTACGAAATTAATCGGAGAAAAGAAGTATGGAGAAACTTTTATAATGGTCGACTGAACTAGTATCGTTGGACCCTCACACTGGTACCTTCTATGGCTGGGCAGTTCACGTAGCTAAGTGAAGACAGGCGGCGTTATAGAAGAAACTCGCCGTTGCCGGGTTTTCACGAACAAGCGGCCAATGGGTGAGATGAACTGTCAATGAATGTCGACCGTTTGACTTCTTTACTGTTTTCGCAGCCTCGATTGAACACGGGTTACTCCCCCGATAGAATTACTCTAACCAATCCTCGCTATTTATGGTTAGTCCCAAAATTCCGCAGAGTCTCACACAGTAGGAGTTCTACTAGTCGTCTCTGTGAACTAACCAATTTTCATTATGTTCTACCCCAGCGTAGCAAAATTTATGTATAAGGCTTCAAGGAACTATTGGAACTATGTCCACTTAGGAGCCTCACTTTTAAACGAAAATGATATAACGCGTTTTTACAAGGGATCGGTCTATCTCTGAAGATTTCGTATTCGAAAAGAATTGCTTTGAATGGAAGTCTTTCTTGACTATCAAGGAACTATAGAAATGACTAAAGTGACAACCAGGCAAACTAAGTAAGCTACCTTCTCGAACAGATCGACGTCTTCCAAACCCCATCCTTCAATTTTCGTGTCGAACCCACCAATCGCAATGAGATCCGCCTAAAAATCCCATATATTCGTAAAAAGTGGTCAGCAAAGCTTGTACAAAGGGATATGAAAACAAAATGATCCTGTGGACATCTAGGGAAAACTAACGCATGAATCACCTTATACAGGGCGGCTAGCCCATAACCAAAATGCCTGAAATATCCTCTTCTTCTACCGTAGTGGAATGCATCCGCTAAGAGGCGATCATTCTCAGACCAACTTTCGGGAGAGAATTCCGAGAACACGATCGGAAAATAAACCTGAATTCAAGAGAAAACTACAGGAATCCAGACAGACGGAACAAATTACTCTTGACTACACTTCAACAGAAAAAGAAAATGATGATTCTAACATGAGATAATTACTCAAAAAAGTAGGCAGTTGAGGCAATTTATTCATAGCAACTATTTGTGACAAAAGAAAAAACAAAAAAAAGAGGAAGACAACGTACTTGAGCATTGAGAATAGTGTTCAGTCTGACTCGATTCAATGCATCACAAGTGAACAGCATGTCGACATCAGTGAAGAACATCAGTCCATCGGCTGGAACCCGATCGGCACCCTTCATCAGCGCTATTCCCCTACTGAATGGTGCATCGTCCATTTCGATGACTTCTACTCGTACGAAACTTTGACGTAATTCTTCGATAGTCGCACTGGAAAACGAGGCATCAAAAATCAACGCGTTATAGCTACTTTCCCCAAAAAAAAGGTCGACAGAAATTAACCCTCTTACCGATTCTCTCGTTCGTCCTCGCTCGCGTACAGAACAACCACCAAAGAAATATCGCCGGCTCTTGCGCACACATTTTTTAGATGGCCCGCGAACCTATAACAATTAAGTGTCATTTCCAACGATACTTGCCAATGAATGAAACTCGATTTAAAATGAAAGGAAAATTTGAAACATAGGAAATAGGAACGGGAAATAATATTAACACTGTGAAGTGATTGAGGGTACCTTGCAAATATAGCGGCGCGTCCTTTCAACGGCAAAATCATGTGTAAGTGAGCATTCTCTCCAGTGAAATTGCTGCCTCTCCGGAGATTTGACCTACAGGAACCATTGGGTTGCTTTTTCTCAGTAGAGCAATTACTACCAAAAAGAGCCTACATACCTTAAATTCCTTTCAGACAATGCCTGCAGCGGAGCGAACACCTGCTGTACGTAAGCATGACGCCGTACAGACAATGTGGTTCGATGTGGCGGTCGGAACTTTTTAAACCTAAACAACGTACGTTGAGGTGTCCACCAAAGGAAATTAAGAAACACGACAATGAGGATACGAGTAGAGAATAAATCAAATAGTGTTCAAGGCCAATGTTATGAGAAACCATACAGCTTTATAAGAAACCCGCTAAATAATGAAGGTGACTTCAACGTAAAAGACAAGTGTACTAGAAAGTAATGCCAGAAAAGCGTTCGACCTTGATCTCAAGATCCAAGTTGCAAATCGGAGCTAGAGTTCATGTACGATTTTATTTGAATAATATCATCGCCGAACCTGGTTATTATAAAGACATACCATAGAATCATATCCAAGACGTAGTCGACTCCGTAGCGAGGTTCAACCCTCATGTAGCCATACTGTAGACTTTGGAATTGCAGAACTCTCCCCCTTTGACGTGCATTCGAATTGAACTCTTCGAATAACTGCAAAGACCAACTCTTGCCTTCTTGTTTACCAAACTCCTCTTAATAACAGCGCACAGTCTTATTTGCACGTTTTGCAAACAGTCAACCATTTTTCATTTACTACTGAGGAAGTCTCCACCGCTTACCTGAGTCACAATGTCACCCATTTCCGTCCTTATGCTCAAGTCTACCGTATGCCGTGGGCAGTTCACTCGATCTGCACAGAACAAGATCTTGTTGTTGTTGATATAGTCCCATGGCGTCAGATCTCGGGAGCTGAAATTCATTAATGTTCAACTCTTGAATCCAGTCATGAATCTCGTGAACTCATTCAACCCCTATCTACAAGCAAGAGGTTTTGGATTCTCCTGTATAGCCAGGTATTATCCCCAAGCAAGTTTTGTTTTTGATAATTGACCAGTAGCGTAACTTGTAGCGCACTTGCCCGGTATGCGAGAGATGAGGGTTCGTGCCTGGGGCGAAATTTTTATACATAACCCGGCATTCCTGGGAACGAAACAAATCTGCTAACATCTCCTAACTTTTGAGCCACGAGATAGAGCCATCGTAAAATTGACGAAATAGGTTTGCCACCTTTGACTTAGTATGGTTACCAAAGTGCTTGTGTAGCGAATGACCGCTTCTCCTGCGGTAGTCGCTCGAAAAATCGTCCTTTATTTCTTCACTGTTTCACGCCTAGGGACATCTTGGAGGAAGTCGGCCACGCATTCTACTTCAATTTCAGAGCCATAATATCATTTGATTAAGATTGACAAAGACTTCCGCGGCGGCAGCGCGGAGGTGACGAGCTTTTTTATCTTGTCCGGTAGGTCAGGTGGTCGCCTTAAAAGATTCCCAAGGGTGAAGCTTTGGATGGTGTGACGTACGGTCTTGGTTGTGATGCTCGAGGTACGCGACATTGACTTTTATTCCTGTCGAGTAGCAGGGTTACGCTTCAGAGTAGAACGAGCAGGGGGAGGCACGTGGTTGCAATTAGGCGAAATAAAAAGCTTGGTAGTCGGCATACTTATTGAACGGTTCTGATCGCGCCTGACTTTTTTCGACATGGTTTGAAGCACAGCGACCCTAGGCCTAACCCGGTGTGCGGTACGACGATTGAGGATTTGGGGAGACGTTACTTGGATAGCGTTAGGAGTGAAAGCGCGATCGTTCAATAGTAATGCACCGTTTGTCTTGAAGCATCTCTCTATGGGCTTGTCAAGCGACCAAAATTCAAATTCGAGTTTTCTGAGAGCACCCATCATGTTTTCAAAAGGCTTTAGGGAATTTGAGGATATTTTCATTTGAGGGACTGCCTCACTCACCACCCCATAACCCGATGAGTATACCACCAATCGATTGGTAAGCTGAACCATTCTGATTCGGTGATTCCGTTGATCAATGCCCACCCTCATTTTTTCTCCAAATATTACAGATTACTATTCACGAATCCTGTGAAAGGAATGGGCTTGTCAGCGGTTCCCTCACCTGTTCGGCATGATCCGTATCAGCGTAGGCTGTTGCACATCACTGCGTTCCGTATGCAAGGACACTCGTCGTGCTCGTAACGCTTGAAGATGAAATGCACGATCATGTGCATGAACGCGACGCATTACTGCTGGATCTTTGATGGGATGTACTGTTATGGCGGCCCTGACCTCCGATAAATCACCTGTGTACGCCTGAAAAAAAAGCTCGTACTCATTCGTCATTCGTCATCATCGGCAATCATTGCCAGTATGGGTCACCTTGCACAGTTCCTCAGCCTCTAAATGGCAACGTCTACCCGAGAAACTGGTTCCCTCACAACCACCTAACAGACTGCCGCTAAAGTAGTTACACTGTAAACAAAGGCCAAGCATACCCTTGAAGTGGTCTGGTTGTTATGAAACAACTTCTGCATCTCATAGTTCCACGTGCAGGCCACTCCCACGTGCCGTCGAATGCATCTCCCAAGTTCAACGTCTTCATGCGTCGTTAGCAAATGCTGCAGACAAGACTCCAGATGTGGAGACAGCAATCTGAACAATTGTGGTCATATAAATTCGAAAGAAACTTATTAGCTACACAAGCACAAACCTCAACGTCTCCCTGCTCATCACCACTCCTGGACCACCCATACAGTAGTTGTCAGTGGAGCCCAGCGCCAACAGTCCGTACTCTGCACTATTTCCCAGACCCGCTTGACCAATGGCATGAGCTCTGGAGACGTGGTCATTAGGTTCGCGATCCACCTAATTATCATTGGGAAAAACAAGCATACCTGGATGAGTCCAACGAGCGTAAGAACTTCTCCAACTCACTACCTCTTACGTACAAATCGTCATCAGCTCGCAAAAACCAATCGAACTCGTCCAACTAAAACGGTTTCACTATTAGTCGATGAGCCAATACGAAACCAAAAGAATGCATCACAAAGTATGTTTTTCTTTTCGTACTTTTCAATAAGTGAGCAAAATTTATTAATATACATTGGGAAGGACTATTAGGTGCAAGCTTAACACATTCACGCCGATGGCCGCCCATATGGGCTGCCAACAACATGTGCTCCTGGGACGATGGCCCATATGGGCTGCCAAGCTGATAATCGCTTGCCAGGCGCTAGGAATGGACAGATAGGTGGGCAAACCTCGTAATCGAGTTAAAATGCTTTTAAATTCCTTCACGGGGAAAGTGAATAAATGCTCTCTTTTCGTAACCACTATTCGTCGTTTTGATCGAAATCCTACTGTTATATGTTTAGATAATCTTTACGCATTGGACATTGCAGAAATTATTTTGTGACATTCATGTTTTTGTTCATTTACAAGTACAAAATCTGCGGTTGTGAGGTTAGGCGGCGGCGCCCACAAAATCGCGTCCGTCCCACGCGACCGAAAAGTGGAAAAGGGGCGTCGTCGTGAATGTGTTAATTGCGATGGTTAACTGATTTTTTTCTTACTAAAAATGCATTTGCTCAGTAAGTTGTCCTTCAATCATCGAATGATGCCGTCACGAGAACGTTTTGAATTTGATCAATTCCTCCTCATTTCTACACCTCCTCCACTTTTCGAACTCATATGGCAGCTACGCTGTACTTTATCGATCCTAACAAGCGATAATCAGAAGATGCTATATGGAGTGGTTACGCTGATGAAGGAAGGGCTTTCCATCCTAGTGGAGAAAACTGCAAGGGTTTATTCCATTCGAGAAACATAAGCTCTAGCCTTCCTACCGATTCTCCTATAAGTCACTCACTTTCCAGGTGTCGCAGACTAGTAATTGAAATTTCACAATTCGAAAGATCCGCGGAAAACGTTGGCGCGTGATAGTACCAAGGTATCGGCTGCGGAACTGCTCTAACCAGGAAAGGTGATTATGTCAACCCAACCAATAGAAATGAGATGTACATACGCGCCTTGGGACGCTGAGCTCAAATATGCTTTCCTTATCTGCTGAACTCTTCTCTGAAAGGAATTATGAAGCAGAAAAGCGCAGGGGCAGTGGTCGAGGCTCACGAAAAAGAGGTCAGGGGATCGACTCCTGGCGAGCTTGTTCTTTTGCCGTTTGCAGTAAGATAGCTAGGAAGCCTCATAACATCGTTAGTTTAATATGTTCGCGTATAGTTTCCTGGGCAGAGATTGAGAGCAATTAATCACCAAAATGAGCAATATTCGCACCTGACTGCACTAGGCGTCTGTAGCGCAGGCATCAGGCATTTTTGCTCACAACAAGTGTGATATTCGTTAACAGGGAGCCCAAATCCTCCCTTGGACAGACTTTTCCCAGTTCTGAAATTTTAAACTAACCCCAAAAATTGGGCAGTACCTACCCATCAACCCATTAGCAGATGCTGATATTGGAAGGGAACTAAACTTCTAAACAAACTTCAGAAGAAACAGAAATAGTGTTTGGCTGAATTCACTTCAGAAAAGACAAAAATAGTGTTTGGTTTGTCTGTCGGCATCATCCTAGGATCTACAACGCATCATTATCAAGTACAACCTCCTCCCACAGCGGCTGTCTCGTCGTCCATGATCGGTCAACTCAAAAAGTTGTTGTGTAAAAAGTAATTCTATGACAGTCGAATTTTTTAATTTTTTTATTTCTTAATTTTTTTTGGAGTTTTTCGAATCGAAGCCTCAGGTTTGGTCAGAAACTCGTCCTTTGAGGTAGTTTTACCCTCTGAGGAAAAATATAGCATACCATTTGTCCCGATAAAGCTTGGCAACTGCACTAGTGGCCAGAGTCAACCTCATGTTCAAATATTTTCGAGAGTTGCGACCCCACCAATACACAGTTGCGACCCCCCAATACAACCAGCCTTCCCCACCGCGACCTCTCCCTCTTCTATAGTATTTGATTCTGAGACCAGTTGACACAGCCCAAAACCTACCTAAAACTCCGAAACTCCACCCACTTTTTCCCCAAAAATAGCCGTCGAGCGGGGGGGGGGTATACAACCAGTGAAACGGCAACTTTTTTCGCACGCACCTATGCCCTGCGCCCCTGATGACCAAAACGTAACCAGCAGAACTGCGCAATGCGACCCTCTCCCCTCCCAGAACACAAATGCGACCCCCCCCGTTCGAACATTTCGAACGGACGGTTGACCCTGCTACTCACCCCACGGAGCACTTCTAGGCAACGAGCCTCAATTGCCCACAAAGTCTTTATAGATGTAGCTCAAGGCGACTGTTGATAAGATGATAAGATTATGTATACAAAAAGCTTCTCACAGTTAGCTATGAAGAAAGACACACCAAATACCGAAAATACCGAAAAGACCCTAACCCGCAACCCTTTGTTCGGAAGCAAGACTGCCACCAGCCACCACTGAAGCACACCACCCTTTTCTTAGTGACGTTTATAGGAGCCTACATGTGATTTCAGACAGGACGAAAAAAAAGGTGACGGAGAAAAACACTCCATAACTCCTTCCAGGGAAGAGTTCAGCAGACCAACGAAGCAATTGAGTCCAGCGTCCAGTACGTGAACTGATACTACGCATTCCATTCGCGCCGCGTTCACCTAGATGACTTTTCCTGGAAAGATAGACCTGCACAAGGTCCTCGTCATTTAGAATCTTTATGATGCGCCATGCGCTGAACAGCTCTTACAAGGGAGGTCTTTCAGGGCAAGGTGCGCTTTTTGGAAACGGTTTAGTACATGTTGTAGGGACGCATGTATGGACCACAAAACCATGTTTCGTTTTCGCTGAACGGTTTTAGTAGTACCAAAAAAGTGGTGAATAATACTCTTGATGGTTCAATCCCCGCGGCGACTAAATTTTGCAATCAAGGTTGGCGGCCACTTGTTGGCTTCAAAATGGTCCTGACGATGAATTTGACATCTGATTTTGATATTTAGCGCGATTTGGCACCAAACCGTAGGCGCCAACCCAAATGCAAAATTTAGTCGCCACGGGGGATCGAACCCTTAACAGTACCTTATGCTTCTTTTTGGTACTGCTATAACGACAGTTCAGCGGGAATGAAATGTGGTTTTGCATTCGCTACATGCGTCGCTACAATATGCACAAAACCGTTTTGAAAAAGCGCACCCTGCCCTGAAAGACTTCCCTTGTTAGACCCGCGGAGATGCATTTGAATGAGCAATTACCTTACCGGGCACAGGAAAGCACTATTATAACCCTTCATCAATTTAATACCAAGTAACCAACCCGGACAACTATGGCGGGGACCAGAATGGCGAAACGTCTGATCACTTTGAAGAAATTCGACCCTGACGACCGTAGAATGTATAACGGCATTCTTTGCTACTGGTCCTATTTGGCGACGCTCTTCTACTTATCAGAAACAAAATTATAATACACGCGAACGGAGAGAAAGAAACGAAACTGACTCTTTGCGCAGTACAAGGTGTGGTGCGAATCTTACTCAGCTAGACTAGAACGCTATGTTGCCCAAACAAATCACTGAGATGTCGTGAGTCATCTGATTCCACAGTACATCGTCACAAACTGAACTTTACCCTTACACGGGTGCTGGCTCAGTCGCAGGATTCCCTTCGGATGTCCTTCTGGAATTCGTGCTAATGCCGCCTCTACTATTATACCCCGCTAACCAACCCCAACATTTCGTTATCACTTATCAGCAGGAATAAGCGCGTTGTTACAGCAGATTGAGATCTCGTACGTCAGGTAATACCACTGTCAAAAAAGTGACTCGTGCTTGCAAAAACACCACCACAGCCACCACCACCCCGACCCTCCACCATCGCCGAAATGCAGGGGTACCAGGCGCCATCGAATATGTTCACGGCTCATCACACACTGTGAACGAGCGGAAAATATGTGAAATTATTGAAAAGAGCACAACAACGATGACGGCCTTCAAATTATGCAATGAACGATGACTGAAAGACGAACTCGCTAGTGATGAGGAACTGGTTACAGATTATAATAATCGAAAGCGCTTTCGAGGCACTCTTGAAGCATATACACACCCTCGAAGAAATTCGTCATATTAGTATATTTACAAAAAGCCTAATCTCTGAAATGGAGGACTCACATAATTCTCTGCCATCCACTTAACCATCGCAAAGCTTTTCTTCTGCGGTGGATACGTATCGTCGACACCTTTCAGACGTATAAGCGGCAAATCCGGGTGGATGGATTCTGTATGCTCCGCCACGAAAAACAGTACCTGAGCCAACAAGAATTATTTTTTTTCTCCGAAACGATATTACAGTACTGGATAAACCGTGAGAAAAAGTTAAACGCGCGAACAAGTAGAAAGCTGATCAGCAACGGGACATACTTTGCCTGGAACGTGTTTCGCCCATGTTTTCCAGACATTATAGGCTCGTGTATCGACGTACTTCGCCGCCGGCATGATACCCATAAGAATCAAGCCTGTTCGCTGCTGCAAGCTTGTCGACAGTTGTTCGCATTCTGGTGAAGTGGATCGCTTTTGAAGTCGAGCCACAGACGACACACAGTAGCTAAAAGAACCACGATTTCAGAGATTCAGACGCTGACTGAACGCAGTAAGTCATCTTAACTTCCAAGACTGAAATATGATTTCACGTCTCTCTTCTCTCCCTCTCTCTCTCTCGATCTTCTCTCTCTCTCTCTCTCTCTCTCATTTGGATAAATCAAAGTTGAATAGGGATTAGAGGTAGTAAATAACACAGATTCAAGTCATTAGGAATTTATCAGTTGATCTAGGATCAAATTCGAAAACCTCAAACGAAGTGCAAACTGTTCAGCTCAAAACAAAACATAGCTAACTGTACCTGGGAGCCGGGTCATAATCCCAATCTGGTACCCTCTCCCCCTCACCTCCCCCTCCAGCGCCGCAAGTAGAAAACTTCATGAAATAATTTGAGGATCGCGCGCTGTACTTAAAGGCTAGACAAAGCCATGCCATATAGCTAATAGCCAACAGCAATCATGAAGATATTTTAGAGTTAATTTGTTGATTACGACACTTCACGTCTCTAAAACACCGACCGAACATTTCCAATTATGAACCAACAAAGCCAAAAGGAGCCTCTTCGCAATTCCAACCCCGTTTCAAGTTGCAATCTGACATCAAATTCACGCATTTTCTCACAAGGACTATCTCGTACATTCAAGTAACCCAGACAGGGTGAAAACCTTGACTGGCCATCAAGTAAATAAGCAAATAATTACGTTAGCAAAATGCAAATACATGGGCAGAATGCATTATAGGAAACCAACTCACGTCAGAGATAGACCCAGCAGAGTTCCAATCAGTGTGAGAAAGACAGGACGCGATACGGGCATATTATACGTCTGGAAAAATGAAACTCTATCAGTAGGACACAATTCTGAACAGCGCACTCGTTATTTCTTATCCATTAATTTAACGGCCAAACGCAACGCATTCGGTCTATTTTCGATAAAAAAATGTCATCAAGTTTATTCCCTTTTCAACATCAGGCTTTCAACTAAAAAAAACCACTCACGGCACCATTCCCACCAATGGTGTCGCCTTTGAATAAATATGTGCGCATTTTTTTTTTTGAAAGAAGGAAACACTTGGTAACGGGTTTTTAAAACAGATGGAAAGAAGAAGTGTTTGGGTGGGAGAAGTTAACGAGATCTGCAGAAATTTCGAAAATGGTTCTCTTTTGGATTCCAATTTTAGTATATGTTCAGGAATGAACAAAAACATTCCTCCCTACCTCCCTCAGCATCAACTTGAGGGTAGTGAAATGCGAACTGCATATTAGAGGCCGTGGGACCTTTTGAGAAGGAGAAGTTCTGAGTTACTAGAGTGTGGGTAGGAGGCCTATGGAGGGCGATGGTTGTGCTAACCCCAGACTCCAGCTGCAATGTCGACCCTGCTTAATCAAAAGAAATGGAACAACCTTACTCCACTAGTGGACAGGCGGCGCGGCAACGTGTTAGACAAAAAGGTATTTAGCTAAGAGACAATTTCTCAAGCGCTAGGTAGCTACAACCCCAGAAATAGGCGCGAGCTTCACGAAAATCGTAAAATTGGATCAGTTTCCTTCTATAATTTGGTATTACAGGCAGCGAGTTGGTCCCATCTGGCAACAAGAAATGTGAACAACAAATACACTAAAACTCAGTCATGCTCACCCCTTTCAATCTCATCGGTTTTTGTCAGCCTCAGATCGACAGCAATAACACTCAAATAATATCAGCTCCTAGATGAATGGGCGTCAACCCAACAACACCGTAATGACGCCGTCTTCGATATTGTTCTTTGGTATATTGGTGAACCTGAAAACTTGTGGAATGATGAAGTTCTACTCAGATACACAGACACGGAACCAAAGCAACACACACTAGACAGGCACCACGACGGCCGTGCGCGCGTAAACACAACAGAAGTGAGCGCAGCGATCCACCTGACAAAAAAAACCATCGGCTATTCACTTTGTGCGTGCGTGTGTGTGCGGAGGTATTGCACTGAACGCTCAGTGACCACGAGACATGATAAAATGATCGAAGTAGCGTGACACAGAGCGAATACGACCCCGATCAGCAACCGTCCGTGGACCTACCCGAAACAGCTAACTCGTTCGACTCCGTTCCGAGCTAAGGAATCGGAAAATGTCGCCGTTAGCCAGCACCATCCGAGCGCGCAGAGAGGCTGCTGGTACCCGTGAAATTTGGCCATTCATCCCCATTATTCCTCGCACGTTTAATTTTATTAAGATTTTAGAAGCGGCGCCATCAAGCCTTATATGAGGAACGAGTTGAAAACAATGACGAATAATCACGGGATTTTTCTGAGATAGGAAGGAAGAAGTCGCAATGTTACACCACTCTGAAGGAAATTATGGTATGATTGAAAAACGCCCGAAAGCCGAATAGGGCCTATTTTATGGCGTTCCTGCGCGATCGTTCTCAACAAAAACGCAAAGCGCATCTCCACGCACTCAGATGAGAGACCCAGAAAGGATTTCTCGGAACCTCCACATTTTTACTCCACTCGCTGAAATAACGGTGCGCATTGATAAGAAACCCACTTAACATCAAAACCTAATCATTCAAGGCTCAAATAATTATATACAGCAGGTAATAGTACCAGTAAAATTTTACTAAATTGAATTTACCTAGCTTGAGAACGAACATTCACAAGATTTAAATATACCAGCCACTGCTGTGACAAAGGAACATAATGAATGGCGTCTCGGCAACGAACATCAAAACACATCCATAGGGTGTAAAAGGCGAAATTCTCACGGTAGTTTCCATTAAGACAGCGAGATGGAAAAAGCGCTGATAACAAGGTCAGGGAATGGAAAAAGAGTAGTTCCAGTCATCAATCAGAGAAAAGGTGCTCTGGGATGATCGAACACATTGGAAACCGATATTTCTTCAACTCTTATTTTGTTGTGTTATAAACTATTATCAGGGCAAGCCGATCATCTTGCCAATGCCGCTATGCCCAGAGAGATCCTTGATGCAAATGGCCGACCACAATCTGACAAAGTTGTATCTCCCAAAAAAGGAATGGCTTGAGATTATAAGTGATTTCAAACTTTTTTTCGAACGATTTAAAATTAAAGAAAGAATGAATATAAAAATAAAACTAATTATCAAGGGAAATGACACAAAAAAGTCATTTAACAAGGTTGCGCATTATGAATGAAGCCAGCCAGATGTAAATGAGTCTCAGAGTACTTTTAGATTTACGTGAACTGTTCAACCAGTTACACTCTATTTCATTTTACACGACAAACATTTGAATGACGAACAATATCTACTGGAAGGGTTTTCTTCGGCGAATGGAATCATGAATATCATTCAAGGCGAAAAAAGTGAACGTTACAGTTTCAGTTCTTTATGCTCTGAAGTTGTACAAATCAACATCGAAATTCTTTGAATCATGATAAAAACTATGACTATAAGAACACACAACGTAGTAATGACTATGCGTAATTATCTTATGAGAACATGTCCTCACTGAAAAGGCTGAAAAGGGGAAAATCCTTTTTCTTCCGCAGAAATAGAAAAAAAGCATCAAAAAAGTGAACTTCATGGAAACGACATAAATAGAGGAAAATAACTAGGTGAGACTGCAAAAGAAAAGAATGGAAGAGAAAGAGACTGTTAAGAAATACTTTATCTGAATTTCTTTGAGTATTTTACTCTCCATTCGAAAAGCACGAGAAAAAGTTGTATTCGGTTGTTATTTACAATTCATTCCCTTAGCTTACATGCTTTCCACACAATTAATTTGTCTGGAAAGGAGTTCCTCTGCACTCTGTTTCGAAGCAACCAGTCGGCTGGCATATTGCTATTGGCACATTGCTATACCTTCTCGTCTTATGAAAAGAAAAATGAAATCAAAAAACGGGTGAAATAAGTTTTAAAAAAATTCAATCAAATTCATCCACTTTTAAGGCCTGCAAGCGAGGAATCGTTAGTTTTGAAATCAAAACCATTCAAAACGAAAGTCTCTGAAGTCCATTCTTTTACATCAAACTCATTTTCACATCTAAAAATGTGGAATTTGCAAAAAAATCTTTCTCGACTCAATTCGAAATAAAGAGGGTGTCACATGTTAATTTGCCAAAGGGACTTAACTAGAATCATGGAGATTCCACTCATAAATAACAAATGGAGCATTTGGAGTGAGCGACCGAACAGAAAAGGAGCGAAGAGGGGATCAAAGGACAGTGTTTCCTATTGATATCTGAAAAATAATGAGACAGAAAAAAGTGAATATAAGTTAAAAAGATTGAAAGCAAATTTAAATTTAAAAAATCTGACTGGAGTTCGAACACATGGCGTGCCGAAAATTCCAAGCTTTTAACATTTGTTTAGTGGAATAAATCGTCAGACATTCGCAAACTTCTCTGCAGCGATTCAATTTACACCCGGCAAACACTTTCTGCAAGTGGAACACCTCTAAAAAGTGACAAGGCTTTATGGGAGTAAACACTTCGGAAGGAAACAAAAACCTTGTCAAAAACCGCTCAGAATAAATGATGAAGGTCGACTTCACGACCAGGCGCGAATATGGCACAATCAAAGCGCCTTCTATAGAGAAAAAGAACACTCTAAATGACCTGGTTTCGATAATCGATGTGTAGCTGGGCTACACGAGTAACGAACGCTATCACGATGACCATGAGCAAGGGCTATTGTACAAACACAGACATATCGTATATACAGCCCTCCCATTGTTATCGATTCGCGAATCAGATCTATTAGAGCTCTGCACTCGACAACGCACCTGTAAAGTAAATAAAAAATCAGTTCCGATAATTTGTTCCAGATCTGAGTGTGAGACAAAATGTGGTTTCCATTTGCTAGCAGGAAATATTGATTACGGACTAGAAATACTATAGAAACAGCAAGTACTAATGCTTCCTACACCAAATGTCGTGAACAATGTAGAAGTTGAAGTTTTTTTTTGGGATAACTTTGTTAAATTTCGTAAAATACAACAATACAACCCAGAATTGCAAAGAAAGTTGGCCGTAGCATTTCACAAGGCCATATTTTTAAAAGTGCATGTTGAAAAAATACTCGAGAAGCGGGTCATTTATGCGACTTGAGAAAGAGAAAACACTCATGAGGGGTGGATATGCAGGACTTTGATCGAGCCGACGCAAGCGTCGGAGATAGGCGGTGAATTGAGAGAGCTCAAAGATGAATGGTTTATAGTGGTATGCAATTTGTTTGACATTTGCGCGTGGAAAGCCCTCGTAGCATTGTTTCTGACGCTCCTGTTGTATTGATGAATGGACAGTTTGTAAAGGTGTATGATCAGGCCGACTGTGGTAGCCGCTCCTCGTCGCCTTCGTCCTCCTTGACACCAAGGCGCAAATTACCATCCTTTTCCTTCCGAACGCCCCTTCTCTTAGCAAATGCCGCCCACACTCAACACCATCCGTGAACGCACTTGCGTAAAAAAGCATTCATCATCGTCCAAATAGAAGGACATTAAGTTAGATCCGGATTCGGCATTATGCTATCCGAATCTGTCACAGAAATTAACCCTGTTCACATACCAATACACCTCCGAATCCACACATCCCCCAAAGACCTACTATGTCTTTCCATGTTAGTTGGATAATCTCAAGTGCAGAGGAGCCTTAATGCATAGAAAAGTTGGCTGTCTAGGGTACAAAGGAGCAGATGAGAAATTGCTGGGAAAGTTGATGTAGTCTTTGGAGGAGAGAGTTACAAATGATTTTCTCGAGAATGAGCTCATAAGGAGTTTCACCGTAAGGTGATTAAAAACAAGTGCGTCAAACTCGATTTTCATACGGAGTTCTAATTATTCAAAAGATTTAGTGTTCAAATGTACTCATTCTGGAAAATATAGCATGGAGTTAACCACACACACACCTTCCTTTCAGTGAGGACATCTTTTTCATCTTATGGGAACACCTAATTATCAAACTAGGTGGTGTGGACTCTGTATATAATAAAGAGTGGTACAAGTTGAAACGCAAATGGTTAGAAGCGCGAAAACCACAGTATGTCGATGACGGTGCCTTGACCTAGTGCTTGGCATAGCTTGGCATATACGGCGCTGCGGAATGGCCGAACACGAACTCGTAAAACAGCACAAGGAAAACTAACCGACATTCCACACATTTTTGTGAATAAAAAAGGTGGTGAGACAGCAAAATTGTTACCCACTATAAAGTTTGTATGCGCTGCAAGATAGTTTCCATCAGAGGCTACTCCAGTTCGCGTTCAAAAGCTTCATGATCCTTACGAAATTCAGTGAAGCTCATATGTAGTTTTACCTCCTTCAAAAAAGCATTTTTCGAAGATATGAGATAGCCTCCAGGGATGACTGTGATAAGCTATGGATAGGGTCTCCGAAGTCACCTATACGCTCTATGTCTTCCCGACAGCTTTATGAAGCTTTTGAATAGGAGCGAGGGTGTAGCTTTTAGTGAACTTCTTAATCAACAATGTGAGAAAGACGGAGAGTTTACGAGCATGCTCAGAATTGATGCAACCTTTCAAATGCACAGGACCACGTACAAGAGGACAACGCAACGAAAAAAGCGAGTGCTTTCAAGCTTGGAAATGATTAGGAAAAGGTAGATACAGAACGTCGTAATAGGATCGCTGGTCAGTAAGGAAGACGAGCTGGTCACAATCTCTCTCGTGAT